ATTGTTGAAGCTGGTCTATGCCGGACCTCAAGTTTTGGAGCTTCCCTCGTCAAAACAACTCCGCCAGCATATGCACGATGTGGCAACTACCTACCAAGAGCCACAACTGCAGGATCTGCCCGGGGACTCCAAAGTTTCGATTGCCTTGTGCTGTTGGAAGAGTCCACTCGGACGGGACTTCATGGCTATTACTGCGTATTACTTTGATAAAGAGTGGAGCTACCGAGAGGTGCTGCTTGGATTCGAGCTACTCTGCAGGCCCGAGACAGGGACTGACCCGGGTGATCAAATACTTGCACTGATCGGGAACAAAGGGCTGCTTGGTCGGATATTCAGCGTGACAATTGACTATAGGGTCGACGAGAATCTGGTGCTGTCATTACAAGAGAAGTTGATTTCCTCTGGTGGTATCAGCCGTCTGCAGTGCTTTGTTGGGCTTCCTGGCACAGTGCAGGCCATCCAGCTCTGTCTTCGGCGGTATATCGAAAACATCACAAGCTCCCCAGAAAGGGAAAGGGTTGAGAATGTGCGAGCAATATCACACGCCAATGGTTGGACTGAACCTTCAGGTGGCGAAGAAATAATGTTTGTTTTGGAAAAGGCGAATGTCCTCCGTCCTCCTGACGAGAAACAGCTCTGACCCTTGTGTCTTGCAGATTCGATCGTTTGCAAAGTTTGTCAACGAGACCCGCGGGAAGCGCGATGAATTCTTGTGTCTTCAGCCCCCAGGGATTCGACTCTTGCCGTTGGACGATGCAAACGCCCGCTGGAATTCGGTGTTTTTGATGTTGAAGCGAGCCAGCAGATTGCGAAGATTTATCGACCAGTACTGCCAGGAAAGGGGGAATTTACGATACAAATTGACGAATATGGACTGGCGCAAGGTTGACTACGTCCTACAGCTAACAATGCCATTCATCCAGTTCACTACAGCCCTCCTGGCCTCGAAAGAGGCGACAGTCCACAAAGTCTGTTTCGTGTTCAAGATACTAATGACGCATATCGACCAGTCAGCTGAAATATTGAGAAGAAAATCAGCTCCATGGAAGCGAACACTACTTGAGGCGTCGCTTGTCATGAAGATGGAACTTGGAGAAGTCTACGAAAAGACATTTCAAGACTTTGGGGTCATGTATGGCACTGGAACTTTTGTTGCGCCCCAATATAAAGTGTCCGCATTCGATGGCGCCTCGTCATGGCAAGGCTTGGGCCATTCCGAGCGCTACATTGAATATCTCAGGATCTTTCACCTACAGTATCGGCCGCAAATGCCCACAACCTTGTCATGTGTGAATGGACTGTCTTGCTCTCCGCAGCTTCTGGGGCTCGACCGGCTTCTGCATCCACTAGCTGGTCTGGCTGGTAGTTCAAGGAGTGGGCAAGATGAAGTTGATCAATATCTCCGCGAAGGTCTGAATAACTACTCACTATGTTTTCTGTTGACTACTGACACACAACAGGAGTTGTCAATATCTCGCCATGCGCTTACTGGAAAGACCATCAACACAAATGGCCTGTTCTCACTCGACTGGCTCGAGATCTACTCTCCATTCCGGCTACAGGTGCTGGCACAGAGCGACTTTTCACAGTTGCACAAAAAATCTGCTATGCGCATGGGGAATATTTAGATGAGTCGGCCATGCAAGACCTAGTGATGTATGCGTACTCGGAGGAATCTGAAAGAGGGAAGCAATTGATCAGCCGGGTAGAACGTAACAAGGCAAGTAACGAAGAATGGGAGGAGTTCGAAACAGAGGCAGAAAGGCCTGAACCGATCAGCGAGGATGAGTGGAGCCCAGCTGAAGCGAGTATTGACGAGCGCCCAGAGGACGACGAAAACAGCGAGGCAGACACAGTGATTCTGGAAAGCGCACCTACGGATGACCTGGGCCAGGATATGGCGGATGAAGGCGATGAGGACTCATTCCTGCCCCCGCCTGTCACGCGGCTCATCAATAGCGTTCGAAGAAGATTCTCAGGCAGAATGACAGTGATCTAGCAGGGTGTCTCATCATTCTTCTCCGGTGTTTGTTTGTTGGAATTTACCCTGCCTATCCTGCAAGAATGATACTCGCATTACAAATTCATTGTCGCTGATTTATAATAAGCCGCGCCCATGGAAAGGGGAAAACGTCATATCAACAGATCCTGTGGAAAGCGAGTATGCAAGACAGTCAACGTTACAATTGTCACTTTTAGCACTGCCAGTCTTGTTGCGTTTTCTGAGAGAGATGTGGTGGCGATTAGCTGACGCTTCTCTCCATCATGCGCTCATCAAAATACGTAGCAGTACCTTAATGCAAAAACGAGCAAGTGTTACAACTTTGAAAGCAGAATACATAATATCATGAGCTCTCAATTACATCTTACTTCTGACACGCGACAAAACGCGGCTATCTCAAACAGATCAGTGGACGCTTTATATTATATTGTCAGTGCTAAAATACAGTGAAAGTGACAAATCAGTTTAAGGATAATCAGCGTTCCTTATTAATCTCCAAATAAATGATATAAGTGCCATTATATGTCTTGCTGCTGCGGTCGAATGTAGTCAGACTGTCGTCCGTTCAAAGTATGGAGCTTTTGGTCATCAAAATGATCGTTGGCTGGACGAATTCTGGCTATCCATTTCAGGTTTTAGCTGAGTATCAATATTAGTACAGTACAGATGGATTAAGAGAGCAAGATAACCTGTTGAGGCCGCCAACAATCAAGCTGATGGAACTACCGGTAAAACGTGTTGACCATTGCTTGTGCAAGTATAAAGACACTAGATGGGAGAATGGTAAGAGTTTCCAGAGTTGCCTAATCCATGTACGTCTCTGCCACTCCTACGTCATTCCTCCTTTTAATGGTGCGGCGGTTCTGTCAGCAGCAAGCCTCTTGCTTTAATATCCTGTTGTTATTACCTTTGCTGGCAAATTAGCATCGTGGTAAGATTTTACAGCAACCCAAGTATGGCATTACGAGATGAGGTTGTTAGCGTACGCGAGGCCCAGTGATCCTGTATCGTCTGCACTCGGGCAAGATTGTACAACAAACGAATAGTGCATTGTTATCAGCAAAACGTTCATGCAAGATGGGATGAATCCAACTGTCTATTTCGATACTAACAGAGGTTTTGGCTAGTACAGGAACATGAGTTATAGGTGACTGCCGCTGACAAATGTTTGTCTGGGGACGTAACTCTGTGTAAGAAAAAGGGATAAGAATGCAGAGACTCCTTTAGTAACGAAGAATCACAGCCTTCAGAAACACAACAGGCAAACTATGGAAGAAACCTAAGTTGGGAAGGTGCTGGAAGATTCCCCCGTAGACACGACACTCAGAGAAGCCCAAGCTTTTGCAAAATCCAGGCCCGTTTGGCACCTTTCATGGTTGCCCCATTCTTTTTGAGATATGCTTTGGTAACTGGGAGGCCTTTGCAATCAGGATGCCCGGCGTGTTCCAGCCACGACAATGGTGTCCCGTACATATCGTCGAGAGCATTGACTTGGGCTCCGTTTTCCACCAGAATTCTCGTTGCGTTGTAAGAGCCATACTCAGCAGCCCAGGAGAGAGGGGTACGTTTGTTTTGATCTCGATCGTCAATTGGCGCACCAATATCCAGAAGTCGTAAAAGAAGCTCAGTACAGTCCCCCATAGCGGCGTAATGAATCAGAGACCTCTTGAAAGGGCCCCTTGGGTTGCATATGCCCCGGGATTGGACCGACTTCTGAGTTGCTTCGAGGAAAGCCATGATGTTCTCGTCCAGCGCATTCATCTGGATATTTTTGAGGCGCTTGAATTCACCATCCATGGTTGTGGTGGATTGAGAGGACATGGCCTTTAGACACTTCGAAAAAGCCAAAGGTCAGGGTCGCGAGAGCCCGTGACCAAGCTAAAGGATCATAGGCTATATATTAATGGTGGGAGAGGATGTTCCATGTCTCCCAAAGTATAAAATATGAATATGCTTTCTGCTATCCATGTGCTTTTCGGCGGGTTCTATTTCATTTTAGTGATGCAGGATGCTACTTGGAAGCACAGGAGTAAAGTTCAAGGGCATTCTGTTGTATCAGTATGTGTTTCATGGCCTCGACAAAGTGCGGCTGCCGGCCGCAACATACAGTATGCAGCGGACTGTTGGGTTGAAGAGACGAAAAGGCTAACAAAAAGCCAGAGGCAACTCACCCGCACCGTGTTGTAGTGCCTCAGAAACATGAATTGGATCGTTCAACACAGCGTGTTGTGGGGACCAAGGCTGGGCCTACTTCCGGAACAAGACCGCCGACCACACACGCGGCCTGATACGCCTCGTAATTGGATACATGGGTCCTCGGTTATGAATAGCATAGATCTATCAGAATGGACAAAGACCAAGGTCGAAATCTATGGTTGTGCATTTCGCGCCCCGCGTTATCGTAGACGCGGCACATCACTTCGAAAATGGCCTGCTACGCGACAAGAGTCCATCATGTATACTCAACCCACCACTTCTCTGCCCACGGGACGGAATAAGACTTTACAAGCAGCCGTTGGTCTTCAGAGGCCCTATGAGGTGTGAGCTGGTGAGACGTTGAAGATATTACCTCAGAATTCAGGAGCTCATCAGTTCTGGAAGTTTGCCCGCATGTTCTAGCCATAATATGCCGAGGAATATTGGTGAAGCCGACGTTGCCTTAGTTGGCATAAACTAATACAATGCCCTCTTGACTGCATGGTCAGCCTCAATAAGCAACTGTACTAAAGTAATAATCTCCGATGCACCTCAAGTTTGCCCAGAAGACTGACATTTTTAATTCAATAGTTGCCACCTACAGGCAACCTGAAGCCTCTCAGAAATCTCAGGATAATTCTATAAAAGCCTCTGTTATCCTTCCTCGTTTTGCTTGACTAGACATAACACTAAATCAATCGGGTGAGAAATACAGGACACGAGACGCAGCACACAAGATATTTTCGAATTTTAAGCTCCTATAATTCCTCAGAAAACAAGGAAAATGCATTTCTCCATCATCATGATCCTCGCTAGTGCCTATGCAAGCGGATCTCTCGCCGGCACCCTTGAGATCATTGATATTGATGGTCAATGCGCGATATGGTCCTATGACAACCATGGCTGCACGGGATCTTCGGAATTCTTTAGCAAACTTGACGGGGATGACTGTTCAAGTAAGCAAATGCCGGGGATGGAAATCAGAAAAAGGTACTAACAAAGTTGTAGATTTGCGCGTCAAGACCGGCACCCCTCAAGGTTACCCTGTGAGTGGCGTGGGGGCTTGTGGCACGAAAAAAATTCGTCAGTTGCATGGATTGAGGTGGAACATACTGGCCTGGTCAGCTTCTTCAATTACCAAGGCGACAAGTCGGCATGTACATTGGACAACGGACTCAAGCATGGCAGCCGATGTATTGCTACTGACACGATATCCTCCACCAAGGCGTCCTCCGCTTTGACGACACCGAGGTCTTCGTCATCAATCTCGGAGTCATCGTCGACTACCTCCCAGACCGCACCTTCTTCTGATTGTTTCGCGGATTGAGGAAACGTGAAGAACAAGTGGCAAAGTGACATCACTCTCGGGATGTACCAAGCATACCCTTCACTACTTTGTAGGTGCATGGAATTTTTGGCTTCCTGTTACTTATGTTTTCAGTGTCTGATGTAATTTCCTTTCTGAACATTATATGTACTGAGAGTAAATTAGACGGAGATGTGGACAGCAATGCATTGAGTTAAACTGGATGGGTGTTCTGATAGATTTACGCTGATTCATAGGTTGTGATTCGATTCTGCATTTTGTTCTTTAGGTTCAGTTGAGAGAGTAGTAATAGCTTGTACTGTAGCTATGCTTTGCTTCCCAATTTGGGCGCTTCTCTTGAAGATTTCCATCGATATGATAGTATTCGAGACTTTGTCCCAATCCGACGACAAGCAAATAAGGGACTTCCCATTTTCGGAAATTTGGGCCATGGTTATTGAATATGCCCTTTGATGTTGCAGGTTAGTTTGTGCGTTATATTGTCGTCCCAGGGATTGAACATACATATAATATGACGCTTCTTGAGTTTTCTGACGGTCTTCGAGCTCGACGACAAACAGCTCGCCAATCACGGGAGCACGGGTAATGCAAATACCAATGGCAGGCTCAAGAGGTATCTTGTTACCTTGAGAATCTGCCAGAATCAGTTCCGAATTCGCATGGTTTGCTTGGAGCGACTGCCTGCTTGTCCTAGCGCATTGTTTAGTCTTTCAATTTCCTTTCTTATCACTTGGACCGAGGAATCACATACAACAGATCGCCCTGTTGGGAGTAAGAAGCTATGTCGATGGAGAAACCGTGCTTGAGATTTGCAAGTTGGGGTTGGGTTGTATGCAACTCCCTGCAGTGGTATTCGACCTCTAGCACCCGCACGTAAAGTGGGTTTACGAGTGCAGCCTTGCTACTAACATCGACGGGCGTGGCGTAAGTTCTTGCTACGGTATTTTTCCGGAAGCCAACATATCCCTGACGACCGCTACGGAACGTGCTATGACTCGTGGATTGCTGATTCCGCAGTGCAAATATTTTTATCGGCAGGGACTCTCGCAGGGCAGTCTTTGGGCCGATTGGTCGGTTTTGGGGCCCTAACAAGGAGTCATCAGCTAGCTGGTAACGATCTCTCTGTTCTGGACCGTACTCAAGATCTCTTGGGATTTGTTAGGTTGAGGCTTCCCAATTGCGAATAATCGGTCGACTATTGTGAAACAATTTGTTGTATAAAGCTCCCCGCTAAGTTTGTCGAGTATTCTCGCAAGGTCCTGGTGGTCGTAGTTTCTCATAACGCATGCTAGGACTTCGGATTTCTCTGGGCATACATTAGTATTAGTGTTAAAAAGAGTGCACGACGTAAGACTGACCGGATTCTTGCATACCTGAGGCGTCTTTGAAGCCCCATTCAACGCTAGTGGGCCACCACCTAGGTTCCTCTTCCAGTCTCGATTTCACAGCAGCCAAAACCTCGTCATTAATAAAATTCCAATCAACGGCGCTTGGCCACCAATGTGGTTTGTTTTCCAATCTCAGTTTCGCAGTCGCCAGAAAGTGGTTGTAGAGCACTTCTCTATCGTTAGGGCAGAGTGCTTGGAACTCTCCATAATATTGGTCGGCGTAAGTTGGAACCGAAAAGTCGACCTTTGCGTCCATTGTGTTATTCATGGATGGGTAAAGTTTGGACGTCCAAATAGTAGGAGGGCAAGGGATTGTTTTAAACACAAGAGCAACAGATCAATCGTAGGGAAAAGTCACTGCCCTGACCTAGCTGCCGAGCTAGCTTGGAGGGCATGAAAGCTGGACCATTCCTATTTGGAGAGCCGCTAGGGGCCTGAATCCCTGTTTGGGTTTCGCAGGCATAAGCAACCTATAATCAAATTGAAGGTTTCCGACTGCAATGCGGTGAATCCAACTTTTCTTGGGGTTTATCGCACTTGGCTGCTAGTAATGGAGCCGTTTACCGGATTGAGAATTTTCCCCCTGCATCCTTCAACTCCTTCCTTACGAAGACTCCGGGTCCACGTATCATGGAGCCGATAATTCCATGAATTTTGATCTCAAATGCCTACTGTCAAGGCTGACTACGTTGTTTCAATCGCACCCACATGGCGCCTTGTTCACATTCCTCGTAATTATATTGAAGACTAACGCCTGGCGGGGCCCCTCACAAAAAGCGTGGCAGCCCCTAGGATCAGTTCGGCCGATTCCATAAATTACATTTTGTCGTAAATGGGAACAGGAGTCGCAGCTTCGGAACTAGATTGCAAGCAGGTCTCGCCAACCCATGGGTGTTGGAAGCCTTGGAAGGGCGGCGCCATCCTGGCTGATAGGCTGTAGCCCTCCTGAGCCAGGAAGTGTCGGTGTTCTGTGTGTACGTCTAGCCCGAAACCTCGAAATTGTCTTAACCAATACACGTCCGGCAATTGTTTACTAGCCCCACCGCCAAGGCCTTAGCGCGACTCACTCGCGTCGCATCCAATGGAATAGCTCTTACGGGGCCAAAGAACAACATCAAGCGTGTATTGGTCAAGGCAACTACGAGATTGCGGGCTAGACGTCGTAATATAAGTAGCATGTACGCTCCTTTGTATATCCTAACAAACTTCCTGCACATCATCTATCAACTGAAAGAACTTGATGTTCATATCGGCTTAGCTCATGCAAACATCCCTCAAAACTGCTACACCGCATACTCTCTGCAAGCCTGGCCACGATTGCCCCACCGCATCCAGACATGAAGCCAAAGGCATGGGTATACAGATTCCCAATACCCCAACGATATCGTAACGTCATCGGGTCTATCTTCGAGTTGGTTATGACGGAGAGCGAGTATTACGAGCTAGCCGAACCCTTGTTGAGTGGACTCACCGCCACGGAAATCTCTTTGATAGCGCACCTGTTCGGAGTCACAGAACAATTCCTCTAGGCCAGCAGATATCTGAATCCGCTCAGGGAGTAGGACCCTTTCATGGTCTACTTTGAGCCACTGATCAAGAAGGGACTGCAAGTCTTAATTCTTGGTAACGATATTCTGGATTTAATGGAGAGAATCCAGCGTCCGGCAACGTACTGGGGCAGTCGAATTGCGGAGGTGGAGACCAATGGCGGACTCATACATACGCCTGAAATCTGGATCGTGGCAATAACCCCCAACCAGCCCACGTACGAAGCGCCAACAAAGCTCGCGACATCTGAAGAGCCATTTGACGCCTTAGTCCAGCCTGTGGAGAGCAAACCCATGTACAGAGATCCCGATACGAGAATGCCCGTGAAGTGGTTAAAGGGTACGGGCGTATACTTGAGACATCGACGTCCTCAAAAGGAGACTCAACGGTCGAAATACATGTGTACCGTGAAATCTTCCTCTTTTGCGATCGATTGGGATGATCTTTACCAAGACATACGGCCCGGCTCTACCCTACCCTACATCGACGCTTCGGGAGAACCCCACACGATCAAATTTTCAGAGCATGATACGGCGATGGAATTCAAGTCGGATACCCATAATGAAGGTCGCTCGGTTGTTTTGTGGAAGAGAATGTACGGTCCGGAGGCGAACGCGGTATTCAATGGCAGGGTGCTAGACAGAAATGGGAGGAATATTTTGGGAGAGGTTGAGTTTGCTTTCAAGTTCCCTTTTCAGAGTAACATATAATTGGGAATGACATTGTAAGTTACAATCGAAAGTCAGGCATCGAATCCACTAAAGCCGAACTGCTTAAGGCAGTTCCTATGAATATGGTATTCAAGGTTAGAGGGTATCGTCATCATCAAAAAAGAGTGGTTATCATCCTCTCAAGGCAGAAGGAGGCACTGAGGAGCCTAATTGTGGAAAGAGTAGGATGGGAAGCATGTATTTATGAATTTCTTCACCCACGACGTCACGTCCGGGTCAAATGTTCTTCCACGAGGTGCACTAATATGGTATATGCAGCGACCAATCCAACCCCAGAATACCTGATGCAAGTTTTAAAAAGGCAGCAGACCCTGGGAGCTCAGGGTGATTCCAGGAGCTGGGTTACTCCCAAGACATCGGACACATTTTCCGGGGCTGTCGAACAACGATTTGCTCTGTGTAAACATCGATCAAACTTGGTGTTCGTAAAGACTTCAAAACGGTGACTCTGGAAATACCATAGCCCCAGCAAGTCGTACGTAGCTTGTAAGACTATCCACCATCACTATCACGAAACCGGTCACGCTCCTATTGACGATTCGATCAGTGCTAGGAGCTCATCTCTTGACCCTGGGAGTTATCTTACTCCCAGGGGCTCCTGAAACATTTCTGAGAACGAAGAAGCAGCTTCTAGGAGCCACGTAGCCCCCAGGAAACCCGATGTAGCTTCTGGGGTCTGGTATCCCCACCTCGGGGAATCAAAGCGGCGTTCCTGTTGACGATTTTTTTGATTCCTGGGGCTATAATTTGGCCCTCTAGGAGTGACCGAATGACGCAGAATTGTGCGCAGGTCCGGTGAAGGCTTTTGTGAGGGCTGTCGGCGATCTCGGAAGGCAAGATAGTGACCCTAGGACCCTAAAGTAAGCTCCCAGGGGCTCCACAGCTCCCAGGTCAAGCCAATGTATTCCCAGAGCGAGTTTCGTATTCAGTCAGGAACGTAAAGTGAAGATGCCGGGGGTAGACCTCGCTTTCCTAGAGATTAGAAATAACTCCAGGAGCTAAACAGCATTTCCTAGGGTAAAAATGGCTCCGAGAAATGCTTCTGAGATTCCCAGGGTTCACATACTGATTCCCAGAGTAAGTTAACAAGCACACGAGTTTGTCAGTCTCACGCCAGCACGCTTAGGGCTCCGAAAGGAATAAATGAATGCGAATATAGGGCATATTCATATTCGCACCCCGCGAATATGAATAAATGAATATCGTATTCGCGCGAATAAGCGCATTATTCATATTCGCATTCATATTATTCATATCATGCATTTTGCGCGCATTAATGGATCTTCCGTTTCCCCGGTTTTTGTATTACAGAAATACACGTTTCCACTAGCCAACTTGTATTTCAAGTGCGATCACAGCCTCGGTCAAGCATAAGTAGAAAATATTTCCCATGCAATCCATGTTCTGAAGTATATACCCTATATTGTAGGGCTCGGTAAGCTCTATGTATTCTGCGTCATTATTTTTCGTGATTTTTTATAGGTAAATGTCTAGTTTTGGTGACCAACGGTTGCTACAGAAAGTCGAGCGAAATTATATATATCTACAAGTCGTCTTTCCACATCTTTGCTGCTCTAGTTAAATCGACTACCATAACTTCTCTTGTTCCCACTCGATCTACTCCAAAGTTTAGATTTATTATAACCATGACTATTGGCACGTAAAAACGCGTTTATCATGCCACCTTAACTCACTTCTCATGCAGGTTACAGATTGTTTACCATGAGAGTCGCGAGCGAGAAACCGCCGCGTGTAAAGAAAAGACCTATCAACTTTCCACTTTACTGGGATTGCATCAGGCGAAAGCACAGCTAGTGTTTCCCCATCATTGTTTCATTCTCACCGTTCATTTCCGACCCGCCATGCTATCAAGTATTGTCGAGTGATACTAAAGGTGTGCCCCGCCTCGCTCCCAGGTACCACTTGGACTACTAACACTGGGCAAATACAGAATGGCATCCTCACCTAACCCATTTGTGCGAAAGACGCGTGGTCTTCCGCGTCGCGACTACAATGCTCTGAACAATGGCACACCCTCCCTACTCCCTGAGCCATGGGAAGGAAATATTCGTGAAATAGAGAGCCCCTGCTCGCCAGCACCATCCGAGTTTACAGGAGGCGAAGAGGCGTCCCCATCCGTGCGGTCCTTACCCATTCCCAGGTCTTCGCCCGCACCGCTAGATCCCACGCTATCAGGGTTGACTAGCAGTCAGAGTAGCCCACCGCCTTACAAGAGACGAAAAGCCAAGTCATATTCTAGCTGGACCCTCGAGCATTTCTGGATCACAGAGCTAGACAACACCTGGCGTCGAAAGGGTGGGCCACCAAAGAAGGATCGGCTCTTAGTCTGTAGGCAGTGCAGTTGGTCATCCAGGGATTCGGCACGCTATGGCTCCACTTCGAATTTGTTGGCCCATCTCCAGGCTAAGCACCGCATCAGTTCCGGATCAGACATCACGTCATCGTCAACTATCGGAACGACCCTGGACAGTTTTTTGACACCTGCAAAAGAAAGGGCGGGCCTTGAACAAATGCTGATACAATGGGTTGTTCAAACGAGACAGCCGTTTACGGTAGTGGAGCATCCGGCATTTAGGGCACTTTTTGAAGCGACAGGGGCTATATTACCCATCAAGACGGCCGACACTCTCTTCAACAGGATCAAGGAGGAATTTCGCAAAAACCGGACTTGCGTGAAAGAAGAATTAGCCAGTAGTAGTCGCACGCTTGCGCTGTCTCTTGATGTTTGGACATCGGAGAATCAGATAGCGATCATGGGCATCATTGGCCATTGGATCTCACCCGAGTTTGAGAAGCGGGAAGAGCTTCTGGAGTTTACTGACATATGTGGACCGCACTCTGGGGAGAACCTTGCGGAAATTGTGATTAGAATGCTTGAGGAACTAGACGTCGCGCCAAAGCTCCTCACAATTACGGGGGATAATGCTGCCAACAATGGAACTCTCTGCGACAGTCTTCACGCCGAGCTTCTCAAGAACTATGACGATAAAGACGACCAATTTCGCATCAGACCTCTTATGCGGTTTCGTGGACGGCAGAGCTTCATTCCTTGCCTTGCCCACGTCATAAATCTCATTTGCAGGGACGTACTCGCTTCCCTGAGGGCCGGCTCAGCTCGAGAGGCGAAGGCTATACTGGACGACATGGCCACACAAAGTAGCCCAACATTCACCTCTGCCCACAGCACGAAGGGAGCAATCATGAAGATCCGGCTGCTGACCCTATGGGTTGCCCGCAGTCCACAGCGCCGCCAAAATTGGAAAGATGTGTCACCAGCCAAGCAAGTGGGCTACGATGTTGACACTCGATGGAACTCAACCTATATCATGATAGCGGACGCCCTTCGGCTACAGAAGGAACTTGGACAATTTGTTCGGATGCATCCAGAAGTTCACGCCCTTCAACTAAACGAGAACGAATGGTCGATTCTTCAACAAGTAGCGAAGGTTCTTAAGCCATTCTGGGATCACACCAACTCCGTATCAAAATCTTGTCCCACGATTGTTGAGAGCTTGCCTATCTATTGGAGTCTAGACGACCTCCTTGACGAGGTTCAAAAAGCCGAAGGTGATTTTGAAGGTGTGGATACCGAGATCCGGGATGCGGTGGAAAGAGGAATCCAAAAGATGAACAAGTTTGCAAGGAAGATGGACACCAATCTTCTTTACTACGTGGCTTCCGTCCTAGACCCGCGTATTAAATCGTCTTTGATTGGATCGCAGATGAGCGAGCAAGATGCGGGACTGATCATCTCTCAAGTGCGGGAGTTCCTAAAGAGGGAGTATCCGCAGGAGTTGTCCATGTCGTGTGTAGTGGATCGCCCGCCGGAAATGTCCGAGACTATGTGGAGGACGCTGCGAAAAGTACAGCCATCACAGCGGACGCTTCTTTCAGACATTGATAGATATCTAGACGCGCCACCGGTGAGTTGGTCCCACCATATGATTGACGATGCAGACGAGGAATGGGTTCTCAAATGGTGGAAGGCGAATGTATTTAGCTTTCCACTCATGGCAAAGGCAGCCCGAGATTACCTGCCAATTCCATCAGCGGAGGTAGGGATTGAACGCGAGTTCAGCAATGCCAGGGATGTATTGGGGCTCAGGAGACACTGTCTAAATGCGGAGACTATGCGGTGGCTTATGCTACTGAAGGGACAGTATCAAAAATAGCGTTCCAAAAAAGTGATTGTGATAATATTAAGATTTATGGGAATGTAATATCTTAGAGATGGTGAACGCATTTGTTATAGAGTCTTAGGCACATGAAAATGGGTTCCTGTATTGAGACGTAACAACATGAACGGTAATGTATGCTCTCTCAGTATATGAATAAATATGATCATTCATGAATATTCATGAATAATGCAATATGAATAAGTCTCTTATTCATATTCATATTATGCAATTCATATTATTCATATTCGCAAATATTCATGAATATTCATGAATGATCATATTCCTTTCGGAGCCCTAAGCACGCTAGTTGCGATTTTCTGCCAATAATCTCCGCCTTTTGTGACACGGCTCCCCTGAGATGAATCGGTGTGTTCTCTGGTCACGCCGTTAGGTATGATGAAAGAAGAAACTGAATCTACTAGCACATTTAGCGCTATGTTATTGTCAAATTAAGTGAAGCAGCCAGTATCTTTTGGCTAAGGTCAAGTGGTGCCCAGCACTTGCAAAAATGAACTGTCGCCTTGTACTCTGGATTTTTACAATCAGGATCTCATTTCTTGCTAAGCTTGCTCCAAAAATCTATATCAATGCTACAACCACAGTTGCTGATCACGATGCCGAGTGTCGGTCACGTGCACTCACGTGTGATTCACTCGCTTTTCGCATTTTCCGTCAAACTCGGCTGTAACCTGTGATCACCTACGCTGAGTGGAATTGAGTCGTGCCGATCGGCGAAGCGGTGCAGCGGTGGAAGGTTGTCGCGGTAGATGAGTTCCTGCT